AACTCCTGTGAGGATTCTACTAGCACCACGCCCATTTTCTTCATTTTGTCACCTGGTGCTGATCCTGTGAAGGAAGTAGAGTCAATGGGCAAAAAGAGGCCAGAGGGATTGACCTTAGGAACGAACTATTGGAATGTAGCCATGGGTCAGGGGCAGGACGTTGTGGCCATGGCCAAGCTGGACATTGGACACAGAGAGGGTCACTGGGTTATGCTTCAGAACATTCACCTTATGCCAAAGTGGTGCGTGGAGCTTGAGAAAAAGCTGGATGTGTTCGCCATTGAGAACAGCCATCCTAACTTCCGCCTTTTCCTCTCTGCAGACCCCAGCAAGGGCATCCCAATTGGTATTTTGGAGCGTTCCATCAAGTTGACGAACGAGCCGCCTCAGGGCATGCTGGCCAATCTCCGACGATCCTTTGCGCTGTTCCCCAAGGAGGACTTTGAGGACAAGGATGCCAAGGTGAAATCGATCTTGTTTGCTTTATGCCACTTCCACTCCTTGATGTTGGAGAGGAAGAAGTTTGGCCCGATGGGGTACAACATGATGTGACCTTGCCAGCATGATCCCCACTTTTTGTTGTAGTCTTGAAGCTTCCAGAGCCATGTTGGTATGTTATGTTTAATTGTTTGGCCGAGGTATCCCTTCTCAGCAGGCGACTTGCGAGATTCTGCCCAAGTCCTCTACAACTACTTGGAAGGCTCCTCAGCGGTGAAAATTCCGTGGGATGATTTGCGGTACATCTTTGGCGAGATCATGTATGGAGGGCACATTGTCGATGACTGGGACCGGCGAATGTCTCAGAAGTACTTACTGTACTTCATGCGAGATGAGCTGCTGGATGAGATCGACATGATCCCCTACGCAGAGGGAAAGCTGTCTTGGCCTTCGCCGCAGCCCGCAGCACATGAGCGCTACTTGGAGCACATTGAGAGTATGCCAGCCGAGTCGCCACTGTTCTTCGGAATGCATCCGAATGCTGAGATCAACTTCAGAACAGCGGAATGCGACAAGGTCTTTGATTTGCTGACGATGCTGACAGGTGGATCGGGTGGTGGCGAGGGTGATGATGATGCATCGATGAGCCCCATGGCCATCGCACAGATGACCTGTGATGAGATTCTGGAGGAGGTGAATGAAAAGCGATTCCCCACAGATGATGTGAGCCGTGGCATGACAGACGATGACAAGGGTCCATATCAGTTCGTGTTCCTGCAGGAGTGCGAGTATATGAATGCTTCTCAGTCTTCAAATGGCGATCCGTGATTCAAGAGTTGCGATCGTTTCCTTTTTCTCTCCCAGCTGTTTAGAATGCTTAGAGAAGGCAATGCCCACTCTGTGATGTTACGTATTCATTTCCGGCATCGGATAGTCAGGCTTTGCTCTACGAAATGGTCAAGGGCTTGCAGGACAATTGTGGTTCATTAGTGTGCTTTCTGGGTTTTGGATGCCTAGCTGCCCAGCTTTGCCGTTCCAAGGGTTGGCTCAATTATGTTGAGACTCATCGAAGTCACCTGCCCAAGTTGACAGGAACTTCAGCTTGGCTTCAAAGGTGAGCTGACCATGAGCGAGAATATGGAGGACATGGCGCAATGCCTCTACTCCGAGAAGTTGCCACACTGGTGGCTTGGCGCACTGAGCAAGGTAGAAGCCACAGAAGCAGACTTTCAGGTGCAACTTCAGTGTGTGCATCAGGGCTCCAATAGAATGAATTTGTATAGTGCAAAGTGCAATGCTGCTTCTTCCACCTTGTTGGAGTTCTGACCATCATCTTACAAGAAGATTGCTTGTGTTTTGTGTTGTTTTGTTGGAGGGTGGTGAGTGGAGGAAGCTTGATGTGTTGATGAGGTGGGTAAAGCTGGGCTTCGCCTCTACGCGGCCCCTGAAGTCGTGGCGTGTGAACCTCCAGGAGCGCTATCAGCAGTTGGATGATTGGATCAATGATCCTCTGAACATCCCGAAGGCCGGACCAAGATTGTTCTACTCATTTTGTGTGTCGAGTTCAGAACCACCTTCAAGAGACTTCCGAGACAGGTGGTTGACATCTCCAAGCTCTTCAATCCTCAAAGTTATCTGACTGCTATCAAGCAGATTTGCTGTCAGAATCAGGGACTGGAGCTGGACAAGTTGCAGGTCTTTACGGAAGTGACAAAGAAAGAGCCCAAACAGATAGAAGGGCAATGCAAGGATGGGGCCTATGTTTCTGGCATGTATCTTGAAGGAGCTCGCTGGGATATGACATCGAATTCTCTGGAAGACTCCAAACCGAAGGAGATGTTTACAGCCATGCCTGTGATCACATGCAAGGCTGGCATCTTGGCAGCAAGAGGGTCGAAACACTAATTTGACTTGAAGTATCGAGCCTGCTATATGGTTTGGGGAAGTTTAGGATGCTGTTGTTGTTGTTGCTGCTGCTGCTGCTGGTGTTGTTGTTGTTGTTGTCGTTTTCTTCAGTGAGATGATGCATGCACACCCCAGTCGCAGAGGAGTTCGGACTGTTCCACTGACCTTGAATGAAACACCTGATGTGGAGTGACATACTTACTTGTTTCTAATAGCTTCTTGTTACTACTAGTAAGGCACCTGTTACTACTAGCGAGGCACTTGTTACTACTAGCGAGTGTACGTACTTGGAGGATTTCTCAACCATCCTACCAGGCAGTGGACATGGAACCCAGAATACTCTTCTACGACCGGGCTGTGAGACCATCGGACAGTGGTTATTTTTCAGACAACCTACTGTATATATATATATACACCGTCTTGGTTGCCTGGAGTGTGGGTTCCTTTACCCTTTCCGCTGTAGCTTGGTCTTTTCAAACGGTTTGCCTTTAAGGTATGGCCAGCGAGAAGGCGGACAAGCAGCCTGGCATCCGTGATGTTCCCTTTCTTTTTGACATCTCAAGCGTTTCCTTGTCATTCTTTTTCCCTTCCTACTTCAGGAACTGCGTGTCCTTGGCAACTAAGGAACATCTACATTTGCCCCACCTATTGCGTCCCCACACGGCGGCCCTACTTCGTGTTCGCCGCCCAGCTGCGGACCAAGGCGCCGGCCGACAAGTGGGTCCTCGCAGGCGCGGGGAGGTTCTCGAGGTTTCCGGGGAAGGCCTCAAATCGGTGCCAGGTGTGAGAAATGAAAGGATGCCATGCCACTTGAAAATCTTGAAAGGGGTCGGGAACCTACTTGGTGGGAAATGCATAGGCCTCCTATAGGTATGCCATAGGTTCATGCGCATGATCAAAGATGCGACTATTCTCTCTTGGGCCGCGGGGTGCTGCTCCAGGAGTGGGGATGATCTTGGACATCGGCATCTAGTAGTCTAGTGAAGGCAGCGTGGCATGAGATCCGGGGCTCCACCGAAGGAACCGAGACCTCTTTTCGTGGCGTCGCGCCAAGCCGTGAATTTCACGGAAGCGGTTTCTGAGACGGTCTTCGACTTTTTTGCCTTGATGCAGGGCATCGAACACTCGCAGCTATGTAAAAGGTTACACACACACATATATACATATATATACAATATATATATATATTATACATGCCTATGTAACTTTACACTATTTGCCACTGCTTGACCTCCACAGAAAGACAGCTTTTTTTCGCCGAGGTGTGCCACGAAGGGCACTGAGTTGGACACTTTCGAAGTCGCTGCGCGCGGAGGTCTTGTACAGGAACTGGACCTGTCCTTAGCGCAGAGGGTTCCCTCCACGAAGTTTTATCGACCATCATTGGTTCAATGGGTGGATGAGTGGTTAGTTGTGGTTAGTTGCTAAAGCTACTAGTTGTCCTTCAGATTCCATGGCAGGGAGCCCTGTTGGCCCAAATCGACCGTTGAGCGAACGACAGCGCCCCAAGAGATGGAGCGGACGAACTCGCGTCCCAAACCCGGCTCCTCCAGGGGAAAGATCTAACATTAGTTTTGGTGAAGCATCGCTTAAAGTGACAGCTTTGCAACCTTTGCAGTCGGGGGTCAATGCCCAAATCACAAAAAACATGTTGAGGCATACTCGGCATACTCGATGAAAGCGCTCTTGGAGTGAATATTTGCACTGGCCCATCGGTGGCTTTTCTCGAGATCCACCCGAGTAGGTCGATTTTTCGTGGCCTCCGTGAAATCCAACAGCAACAGGACGCTACTAGGGGTTGCTGGCCGTACTACTAGGAGCAAGAAGCCTCTAGGAGCAAGGACCTCTTGACCCCGACTGACACAGTGGCTGCTGGACGACACACGTGGCCCAGATGGCATCAGTCGGATGACAAGCTCAGCGACAAAACATGGTGCATTTTCGACATTTTCGACCAGGTGGCCCAAAAACGCTTCCTTGGTCACTTGCGAGGATTTTACGGTCTTTTGTCATGTGCTGGCGTGATGTGCAAGCTGTCCTTTGATCATTTTTTAATCCTTTTTGGTTCGAATTGTCGGCTCCAGTACGCGGACGATAGTATACGCGCCAACGCGGAGGACTGCGGGTCGCGGCGACATGGCGGAGGCAGGTGAGGGAGCCGCCAAAGGCGTGGAGGCACGCACCTTATGGGCGCTCAACAGGCAGGGTGGGTCGGAAAACGGGGTATGGCTGATGGCTGATAGGAAGGCGCCCAAACATCCAAACCTTCTGGAAAAAAGGACATGTGGACTCCAAGTGGACCAAATTACCGAAAGTGCCATTTGACTCCGCCCACCTTAGCGGGCTGAGAGGGCATGTGAACTTTTTCATACGTTTTTCTCCTTTCATGGGTTGGATGGCCTGTGGCTTGCATCCCTCGACGCTCAACAGGCTGATTGTGCTGTTGGGCATCAGGCCAGAGAAGGCGGACAAGTTCGTAAGTGGTTTCACCAGTGAGGAGGCCTCCGCCAGGGCGATTGCTCGCTTTATGGACGACCCGGAATGCCCTGCATGCTACTTTGCGCCCACCAGCGAGTCGGTGTCATGCACCACAGACCTTCCTTCGGCTCAGCAAATGAGAAAGAAGGTTGTAGCCATGCACAGGGCCAGTCCAGAAGTCCAAATTTCAAAGGAAAATTTGGCAGAATCCGTCATTCTCATGGAGATGACCAAGAATGTCATGGACCTGCTGAACATGTACTGTCAGTCAGTGTACCTCTCCACACTCACCAACCCTGCCAATCAGGCTGGTTGGTCAGACCTGATAGCCAAGGACCTCATGGACAAGTACCACGTCTTCCTGGCAAGCTTGCATGTGACTGTTGGCTTGATGAAGGGACACACATGGTTGCCCCACCCTCCACGAGATGCCTTGCCAACAAGTGGAGGAATGGCGGCTGCCGGTGGGGGTGCAGGCTCATCAGGAGGAAAAGACAAGGTCCACGTACTCGAGGGAGCGGTGATTACATGGACCAAGCAGATCCGCCATGTATTGAAACAGGATCCTGAAGTGCTTCTCAAGGATGGCAAGAATCCTGAACCAAGCGCCGAGCTAAAATTCTGGCGAAGTAAGGCTGCAAACTTGAATTCAATCCACTCACAGCTAGGTATGGATGCGCTCAAAAAGGTGCTGAAGTTCCTCGAAACCAACAAGAGTACCTACACTGCGCCCTTCTCAAAGCTTCAGAAGGAAGTGGAAGAAGCTCGAGAGGAGGCCAACGACAATGTAAAGTTGCAAAGCTGAATTGTTGTGCCCTTTTTTTTGGGCCTGCACGCTCCTGGTATCTAACGCGTAGACATGGAAGTTGGCCACTCAAAGCAAGATGTCCTCCAGAAGTTACTGTATTCTCCATTCATCCATGTTATGCCTCGCGAGATGTTTATGGTGAGCAAGTGTCAGTCATGAGGCGAAGCTCATGGGGATATGCAAAACGAATATGTACACCGCGAACTCAAGTCCCAAACGTCTCTACTGACGACGCTTTCCATCAAGGATGTAGGGTAGATTGTCCAAGGTTGGTGTGCCACTGCAGGTTCTGGGTGATTTCTTGCAATGCTAGAAAGGTTCTGGTTGTTGTCAGGCTGTGGCAGGACTGGGTGACTTTCCACTCGTTGCAGTTGGCAATCCCGGGCCCACCTGTCACTGCATGATCAGTGCGCGATGGATTTTGTTGAACGAATCCCAAGTATTTTTTGCAACTACTGGTGCTATTCTTCCCCATCGAGTGGTCTTTATATGTTGTACGCACATTCGGCAGTTAACCAAAACTGAAGCATCCCCATGTTGTTCCGGATTTGTTCCGCGCGTTCTGCGGCCTTTCTGCCACCCAAGGTTCCTTGCAAGCCTCACCAAGTCCATCGATAAACTCACCAGCGACAGTGCTGACTTTGAGCAGCTTGAGCACTTGTTCGAGCCAATCCTTCACAACATCCTGCTCATTTGGCGCTACTCCAAATTCTATACAACGCCAACTCGCCTGGCCGTTCCTCAGATTCTCTCCGTTTCAGAAGTTGTTCACAAATACTGTAGGTTCCCTTTGCTGTATTTGCACGTCTCTGAATGTCTGCAGTATCTACTGTACGCATTTATCCAACGCAGCGCAGCAACCAGAGGTTCTGATCCGGGAGATTTGCAATTCCATCATAGCGCAAGCTGTCCGGTACATCAACGGGGGTGACATTTTCACCATGATCTCGTCGGAGGAGACGGTGGAGTGCTACGCCAAGCTGGAGAACACCTACCGGATTTGCACAGCTTTCAAGGCACGTGGGCCACTGTTTCTTCTGACCGTGTCGGCCGCTGCCACTGTTTGTCGATTCTGCCGACCGTTTGTGCCCGCTCTGAAGCTCCGTTTTTTCTGTGAGGAATGGTGGATTACCTTTGGGTGCGATGCCGGAGCAACCTTTCTTTGTTACATGCCCACAAAAATAAGCGTCTCCCACTGCGTAGCAACTTTGACCCCATGTCATTCCTTGCGTACCTGCGTACGGCTTCGAGAATGGATGACATCCCCACTCACCCAACCTCTTGGGGCCATTCTTCTTCACCACATGCATAGTTTACACATGCCAACACACTTGGCAGGACTGCTATTTGCTCTTCCGTGACATCGCAGCCAACCAAGATGGGACAGGTTGGAAGATGAAGAATGATGCTTTGTTTGTCCGGCTTGACTCGTTCCGGGACCGATGCCGGGATGCTTTGGACTTTACCCGCACGGTGATCCAATTCTCCAAGCTGGAGCGCGTGGAGATCGGCGGAACCAAGGGCAAGGTTGCTGGGTTCATCGTACATAGTCAAACTCATGACGCGGGTCATGTTTTCAACTGGAATTTATTCAGATTCTACACTCAATTAAGTGACAAGAAACCACTCAGAAGCTAGCAATTCCTGCAATGTGCACCATACCCAGCCACAGATAGCCGCACAGCAAACACTGTTCTTGGCCAAGGTTCTCTCAGACTGCGTGCTGGCCATCCGGGAGGAGTTCATGAAATGCGTAGAGACTTTCAAGAGTGTCTCCTATGACATCATGGATGTGGGTGAGATCCAGTTCGAACATGATTACTTCCAATTCCGGATGACTGTGAAGGACTTGGACAGACGATTGGGAAGCCTTCTGGCATCGGCCTTCGACGACTTGGACACCATCAGCATGCGCATCAAACTCTTTGATATCTTTGAGGGCTTGCTGGAGCGTCCCATCATCCAAGCAGAGCTTGAGAAGAAGCACAAGATGTTGCTGCACCAAGTGGAGCAAGACCTGACGGCAGTTGAGACGGGCTTTGTTGAAGCAAAGGACAAGGTTGATCAGTGCTTCGACGATGCGCCCATCTTTTCCAACCTGCCGCCGGCTGCGGGTGCCATCTTTTGGGCGCGCTGCTCCCGGCATCGAATCAACGATCCAATGAACAAGTTAGCCTTTTACAACCTTGCCTTAAGGGAAACACCGGAAGAGTTCCGAGAAGTTAAAAAGCAGCACCAGACTCTTGACAAGATGCTCCAGGATTATGAGCTTCAACGCTACCAGACTTGGGAGCAGACCTCAGTGGAAGCAGCCAAAGAGAAGCTGAAGATGAGGCTCCTGCGAAGGCAAGAGAAATCTGGCCTGCTGAAAGTCAACTTCGACCCTGCCCTTGTTAGACTACTTCGTGAGGTACGCTTCTTCTTGATCTTCGACATCGAAGTGCCTCCTGCAGCTTTGGAGATGTTCAGTCGAGTTGCCACGTACCGGCAATGGGTTGCCCAGTTGGATCACATCGTGGGCATGTACAATGCAGTTCTGACAGAGCTTCTGCCAGTGGAGGAGCCCTTGCTAGAGGACCGCATTGCAAAGATGGATCAGGTGTTGTCACCTGGCCTGACTGAACTCAAGTGGAAGAGTGAAGACAAAATCCCAGAGTTCATTGAGAACACAATGCGCGTGGTCAGTGACGTGTCTGGCGTAGTGGAGATCATGAAGGGCGACTTGGCACAGAACCCTAACAGTTCTTTTCCCTCCAGCCCCTAGATTTTGCATTTGTTAATCCTTATCACTGTCTTCACATTCAGAAAGCTGCGTTGTAGCAGCAACTAGGCAACTTGCGCTCCATCTCCGGTATCCTCTCCCAGTGGTGCAAGGAGCCGATCATTTCACGTGCCAAAGGCTCCAAGCCAATGGCGCTGGATGAGTTTGACCTGAAGCACAAAGAGCGTGTCGGCATGCGCATCTTGGATGTCAGCCAAATTTTCGTCGACCAAGGACTGCGACAATCACATGTATTGAGTATGATTAAGCTGTATAAACATTACTTATATTATACTTATATTTATATATATTTAAATAAACTATATAATATGGACCCCCCATGATCTAGCTATTTTCTGTGGGCCTGCCCATGCACAATTACTTTTTGAACCTATCAGAAATCAGTGCTCCTCATTAGCTGACAACTACAAAAGGCATTGCGATCACATAGGGGGCCACGCTAAATTTCCGGACCCAGTTGACCCAGTTGACGCCAACAAACTACCACTACTACTACTGCTGCTGCTGCTGCTGGTGCTGGTGCGGCTCAACTGGGTTCAACCGGGTCAACTGGGCCCACCACCACTACTATCACTACGACGACGACTGCTACTACTGCTGCTGCTGCTACTACTTCTTCTACCACTCTCACTATCACTATCACCCCACTGGCACTACCACCATCACCTGGACTAGGGACAGGTACCGAAAAACAAATCAAGAAGGTCCGCTCGTGGCTTCATGGCCTGTCCTATGCTACGTTGGTCCCTGTCCTTTGGTTTTGTTGGTCCCCTGGTACCTTGTCATCCCCTGGTCCCTTTCTCCACTGGTCCCTTGGTCCTTGCCCTTGGTCTGCTGGTCCATTGGTCGCCTGGTGCCTTGGTTGCTTGCCCTGGTCCTTTTTTCTGCGCTGGTCCTTTAGTCCCTTGGTTGGTCCTTTGGTCCCAAGCCACCCCAAAGAAACCATAAAGACTCGAGAAAAATCAGAAAAAAGTGAAACGCTGCTGCTGCTGCTAATAGTAGTAGTAGTGCTGCTACTACTACTACTACTACCACTACTACTACTACTACTGCCACGACGACGACTTCTACTCCCTACAAAGTGCTTCGAATGCCACGAAATCTGCATCTTGCGTGAAACAATGGTGCACTTGCCACGAAGCCCCACCCGAAGGTGTACACGCATTTGCGTTTGCCACAAAAACTGCGCTTCAACGCGAAATTTGCACTTCAAGGTTCACAATTCGCTGTTCCTGCCACGGGTCCTTGGCTTCGAGATGCGCAAAGTGCGGTGCCTGCCACGAAATCTACACTTCGCGATTCACAAAGTGTTGCACCTACCGCAAATTCAGCACTTCGAGGTTCACAAAATGTTGCGCCTGCCACCATAAGTCATATTTTTTGATGCCATTTAGTATTTTGGATCGCCCGAAACAAGTTTTTTTGATTTTTATCAATGGTTTCGATCCTTCACCCCTTGGAATGGCTGTCGCAGAGATGCAGTCATGAGCCAAGGCATGATGACCCAGTCTGAGGGCGGCAAAGAGATCCACAAGTTCGTGAAGGACTCCTCTGAGGCTTTGAAAGTGTCGAAGGTGGCCGCCAATTGGAAAGCTTATGTGGACTTTGTGGCTTGTAGATATGGAAGATTTTTCCGGGCTCCGACCGCATTTGCTGTTCTCACCCGCTTTAGACAACCGCAAAACCAACCGACCAAAGTATAACTGCGGCCATGTGTTCTCAGGTCAACAACATTGTCATC